CCTATGGATTTATATTTCAAAGGTAAAAAACACATTTGTGTAAATTCGAGCAAAAAACAACAACTGAATTGCAACTGATCCAGACTCAGTTACAAATATCATATTTTATGATATTTGTAAGCCACCCCGAGTAGACGCTGTCTAGGGGGGTGGGGTAGAAATCAAATAAATAAATAAATAAAAATACATAGCGTTCTGCATTTTTCAGCATCCGCCAGGGGCGTGGGCTAAGGCAGAGGGCTGGAAATCGTTTCCCTGAGAATACAGGGGTCCTACTGATACCGGAGCAGAATCAAACCAGATTTTAGTATAACCCCTAGCAGAGAAGCATTCAGATACTATAGGATTTTCCTTTAGTTACTCTTCCCTGCACCCCTCCACCTTTGATCTAGCCGATGGCCAGCTAAGGAATGTGGCCAAGGAGGTACCAGGTGACAATACAGTGGTGCCTCGCTAGACGATGATAATCTGTCCCACTGAAATCGCTGTCTAGCGAAATCATTGTTTAGCGAAAAGCAAATCGTCTTCTAGCGAAAATTGGTTTGTGAAGCAGGGACCAAACATTGTCCAGCGAAATTCCCACATAGGAATCACTATTTTGCGAATTGCTATAGCGATTGCAAAAAGACAATGTCTAGCGAAAAAACTGTCATGCGGGGTAACAAAAAGTCAATGTCTAGCGAGGCACCACTGTAATCGGAACATCACCAGCAGGGGAGCCGGAGAGTGAAGGCCATATATCAGGGCCCAGGAAAGCCTAGACATAGACATACCAAAAGATAAGAGGAATTAATACTCTTTCCCCCAGACATTTAGATGCTTCCTGAGCATAAGCAAAGAACACATGAGCACACAATCTGCATATCAATAGGTAGCCAATAAGTTAACTTAATTGGCATCACTACCCAATGAGGAACTGAATCCAAATGACCAATAAAATTTTAGTGCTTTTATGACTCTGTGTATCATATAAAACATGTGTACACTGTATTCTGGGGCGGGGTCCTTCTCTGCTTTTAAAAAAATCCCAGGTTACCTTTTCTTTGCTGCTATTCAAATAAAATTGGGCCTTTGGTTCAGCTATTTGCGTCTATGCCTGATTCCTTGCCAGAGAATTTTAGAACCCAGATTTGGCCGGTAACACTACTGCATTGTATTTTTACAAGAAACACATGAAAAAGATGGTGTAAATACTGTAATCTTAAACTGTCATGAACAGATATTTATGAGAAGGCTTATGGGAATTCAAAGTCAAGAGTGGAAAGATTATTTGACGCCTGAATATGCATCACTTTTATGCAGTAACTTACACCCTGAGGTCTATGACATTAATAGTACCTGCATTTTGAACCTTATTTCTTCTGTGCCCCTTGTTCTAACAGATGAAAAAGATGTGATTCACAAAAGCATGTGTATGGTTATTAATGGGGTAAAGAGTCAGATTGTGGGTACGTTGCAAGAGCTACCTTTGCAGGTAGAAGGAAAACTGCGTGGAGCATTAATGCTGGATATCTGGATTCCAAAGAATTTCCCTCCCATTTAAAAGACACCAAGAGCCACAATTCTGGGGCACACTTTGGGGTGAAAGAGAAAATAGGGGAAATGGTATTTTCTAAAGATGCAGGACCACCAGCACAGAAACGAAACTCATTGCATATGGAAATGAAACTTGTTTGCTGCGCAAGACTGCTCACCAAAAAAATAAAAAAAATAAAGCTAATTTGCAAAGCTGTGAAAGAAGGTTGGAGGATAATCACACGTCTTTCCTAAGGCAGCTGCGCTTCTAACTGGGAAGCTGCAGTCGGAATCACTTCCTCCCGGAGAGAGCAAACAAGCTATTTATCTCTCTGGGGTTGTCAACATTTAGATTATGTTATTTGAGGATGAAATAGCAGAGGGACCCCTGAGCTCAGCGATCTAGAGATGGAGAATGCTTCCAGAGAAGTCTTTCACAGTACCGTTGTCTATTTTATGAGTTGTAACCCACCCATAGTGCTGTGATACAAATGGGAGCGGGATACAAACTTTAAAAAAATCCAGGGAATCCTGTCTTGTCATGGCATACCCAAAGTATGGGGGGTCTCGACTTACGAATGGATCGACGTATGCTTCCAGAGAAGTCTTTCACAGTACCGTTGTCTATTTTATGAGTTGTAACGCACCCAGAGTAGTGCTGTGACACGAATGGGAGCGGGATACAAACTTAAAAAAAATCCAGGGAATCCTGTCTTGTCATGGCATACCCAAAGTATGGGGGGTCTCGACTTACGAATGGATCGACGTACGAACGTTTCGACTTACGAACCGCTCTCATAGGAATATATGGACTCGACTTGCGAACTTAGATTCGAGTTACGAATGCTTTTTTCCCTTTTTTTTAAAGCTAAGTCATCTTAGGTTAAAAGGAAAAAAGAAAAAATATCCCCCTCTAGTGGCAGAAGGCGGAATAACAGCTTCCCATTAGTTTCTATGGACAAAAAGAGCAGATACGGATTAAATGGTTTTCAATGCATTCCTATGGGAAATGAAGATTCGACTTACGAACTTTTCGACCTGAGAACTGCCCTTCCAATACGGATTAAGTTCGTAAGTCGAGACCCCCCATCTCAGGTTTTTTGCCTCCAGAGATAGTTCAGGTGCGTAGGGAAGACTTGTTCTGTATGTCACGCCCTGCACTATCATGAATTTCTCACGTGGTATCTGCAGCCTTGTTAAATCAATGGGGCAAAAAAAGGCAAGCAAATTGAAAATATATACGCACATCAACACAGAATAGCATAAAAAGCAATGCCTACAGTATGAAAAAGAATCATGGCGTGATAATATGCTCAGGTAGACCTTCCTCTCTTAAGCAACATTTCCAGAAAAGTGTTCAACTTATAATGAAGAATGACAAGCTGTTTCAAAAGAACATATAATGGAGATATTCTTTACATACAAGAAGGCTTTATGTATTTTGTACAAAACAAGTCTGCAGAAGATGATATATGTATTTTGTACCCTGTTCAAAACAAGTCTGCAGAATACAGACAGATGCATGCATGCATGAATGCATGCATACTACATTTGTAGCCTCGAACAGCACACAAATCAGATAAAACTTTGATGTAAAATCAGAAGGGCTAGAATTTTGCGGGTTTGAAGCTGTGTTGCAAAAGGGAGGTTGTGTTACACCTGGCTTTCCTTCCCTGAACGCAGCCTTGCGTGTTTCCCGTTGCTTAATCTGCTAAATCTAGGTTTTAATCAGTCAGGTAATGTTTTCTTTATTATGCCTTCATTGCCTTGATGAGGGGTTGCAGCAGAACTGCCTCGGATGCCTTTAAGGATCAGCACCGTGACCGTTCTGTACGATCCTGACGTGCGTTGGAACAGTACGGGCTACGGCAGATGATATTTTGATTTCAAGGCAGCTATGAAAAATACAAGAGCCAGCCAGCCTGTCCATCCTGCGCCTTCACATCGGTTCTGGATTTCTCTCTTTGGCTCCTGTTTCCCCTCTTGCGCTCATGGTGCCCAAAATAAATTTGCGGAAAGGGGGAAAAGGTTTCGTTATAACGGCTGGATGATGAGCGAAAACAAGCGCCAGGCCAGGGGCGGGATTTGGTGGACGCCCCCTCGCCGGTGCGGGCGGGGCAACGGGTTTACTTTCATTTTCAGCTCCGAGCAGCGGAGACTCAAAAAAGAAGGAGACGCATCCTTTTCACGCCCTTCCTTAGGTGTGTTTTTAATTTCTACGCCGATTGCAGCCTCCAGGTATGTTGCCTGCGTGCCGCCTCGTCCTTCCTGAATCGTTTAAGGGGGGAGGGAGACCGGCCTTGGGGCACCTTAAGGGGAGGCTTGCTTCATTTACCCATCCGCTTTTGCTGTACGACAGCTATTTGGACAGCTCGGTAACGGGGGCTGCGAGTTCGAGCCCCCCGTGTGCGTCCTTTGGGGAAAAAGCCAGCCTGTGGGGCCGGGGGGGGGGAAATCGCACCATCCCAGGGCGCCCCGGAATTAGGGGGGGGCTGTTAAATCTGAACACTTCTGAGTGCTCTTTATCCAGAAAACCTTGGAAATGTTCGCTGTAAGTCCAGCTGAACTTGATGGTATGCCGTTATTTTTATTATATTTGTAGTCCTCCAAAGGCAGGGCTGGAGTTATAGGGCATTCTGCACATGGACCCACCCATTGATTGCCCCACTCTAACTTTGCTTCTCTTTCTTGCTTCAGTTGAGGGATCCTCCCCAGTAAGCCACTGTGCTAAAACCAATCTGAATTCCTTTTTTCCAGATTGCGTTCTTCTTTTGCCAAGTGACATCGTTTTGGATCCCATTCAAGGACCCCTTGCCCCAGTGTTGCTATGCCCCCCCTCTCTCTCTTGGTGGGGCCCCTTTACATTGCCTGTGAATTGCACTCTGAGGGAGGTCCCCACTCAACGGTGTCTTCCGTAGAAGGTGACTCATCCATTCCTACAGAGGCCAAACCCATCCAGGCTTTGGTGGGGGGGAGGGCACTACTGCTTTGCAATCATAGAATAATTGACTTGGAATGTAGGGGGTTGAACTCAATGGGGATTCGTGATGGGGAGGGAGTCGTGACAGGGCCTGTTTCACATCATCCTCCACCATAGGTGACTTGTGAGCAAGCAGAGGTATGCCCACACCAACACTGGGGTGAGACCCCAGGACCGCCATTGAATTTTTGGACGTGAGAGTTGACAGCAGGCCTGACATCCCTCCCGCATTCCCATGACTCGTGTTGCTATTTTCTAGTCTGAAGCTGCTTACCAGAACAGAGTCACACCGAATCTGCATGTTCAAGCAGAGGCCCTTTCTTTGAATTGCAATGAGGGCAAGCAGTTACGGAAATGTGTGGAACGGCCTCCATTAATTATGCTATAAAATAATACAACCCATACTTATGTGCCTTCAGTCACTTCCAAGTTGTAACAACCTTAATAAATTCCATGGAGTGGTTTTCAACTGCCCTACTGAGTATCCTGGGATTATGAACCCAGGTCTCCTGAGCCCTGGCCCAACACTCCATCCACTACACCACTGGTTCTTAACCTTTGTTACTCAGGTGTTTTTGGACTGCAACTCCCAGAAGCCTTCACCATCAGCTCTGCTGGCTGGGGTTTCTGGGAGTTGCAGTTCAAAAACACCTGAGTAACAAAGGTTAAGAACTACTGCACTACACCACTGAGGCTCTCCTACTAAACGTTTTGCTTAATGTTCTTTAACCCTCCTTCTGAATTTCTTATTATTTGTTAGAACAGAGATAAATGGAAGGGGGGGAAGGCTCTTTGCAGTGACTTCCATAGAATGTGGCTTTTGATCCATGACCTTTTGAAAGTGCTGAGTCCGATTAGTTCATTGAGAATGAAAGCCTTAATTATTTGTACAACAGTAGGATGCTATTAGCTTTCATTGTGCAGTGTATCAGGATTTGTTAGATGTGTGCTTTGTATTAAAATAATACCTATGAAGGTCCCAGTCGTTGATCCAGATTAAAATAATGCCATTAAACATTCCTTGGAAGCCTGTGCAAATAATGATGCTAAAAGAGATGTAATCTCTACCGCAGGGGTGGAGAATGTGTGGCCCGCCAGCTGTTATTGGACTACTACTACAACCATCATCCCCATCATATGACCTTTGGTTCTGCGGGCTAAGGCTGATGGGAGTTGTAGTCCAACAACTTCTGAAAAACCACACATTCTCTATCCTGGTGTATCGGAGGTCTTCTTCCCACAAGTTTTAAAACATCCTACTGAGCTGGTGGTGGTGCTGTAGGGAAGGGGTCTCCAACCACCACCACCACCACCCTGGTCTGCAGACCGGTCCCAGTCCATGGCCTTGCATGGCCCTGCCAGGAATGGGCCATGGAGCCAAATCTCCTCCCCCCACACACATACACAGATGCATGCATGCCCCTCCCACCCACCCATGGACACCCCCTGCCTCCCTCAGATGCTAAACCAGTCCGTGGAGGCCAAAAGGTTGGGGACCACTGCTATAGAGAATGTCAGCAATCCTGTATTTGGAAGAAAGTTCCAGAAAGTCTGTAGAATGGGAGCCTGTGTCATGTGAACTCTCTGTAGCCCTCTAAACAGAAAGAGGAACAAAAAGTGAAATGTTGTTGTCCCGCAGTTGACACAGTGTCACTCCGCACCTGGTGCCTTGCCTGAGATCAGCAGCAGCAGCCACCATGACCAGCTGTGGCCTTCTCAAGCCTTCTCGGGAACCAGGTAATTTGCCTGTGGTGGTTCAGCTTTGTTAGTGCATGATGGTAAATTCCAGTTGTTTCAGCTTCTAAAAATTCAGGTACTACGTACAGCTTAAAAGGGCCAATGTAGATCTTCTCACTCATACAGTATTTTGTCATGATGTAGCTTTGTTGGGTCTTAAGCTAACAAGTTGGCCTCATCTTGGCACTTGGGGCCAAGCTGACCTGGAATGGGGGGGGGGGTCAGTTGTGAACTTTAGGGTTGGGGGGGTTCCTTGTTTACTGTGAGGCAAACCTTTCTGCTTTACTGTTGTCCCAGTGCCTTTACGAAGCATCTCTGTAGATGTGGTGATCCAGGGCTTCGTGGCTGACGTGGTGTCTGAGCTTCGGTACCAGAATGAGGAGAAGAATCCAGTGGAAGCCATCTTTGTCTTCCCCTTAGATGATGAAGCTGCCGTATACGCCTTCGAGGGCCTGATTGGGGGGACGCGGATTGAAGCCCAGATCCGAGAAAAGAAGCAGGTGGGGGAGTTCTGGGAAGCATAAAGGTCCTTAAGAATACAGCAGTCTAGGTGTTGAGAGACTTCTGTTAATGTGCTGTTACATTATGAATATGAATCAGGAGAGGGATCAGGGGTTTTGAAGTTGAAATTTTGAAATTAAAGTCATGTGGTAGTCACAGGCTTTCCCAGGGAGAACTTTTAATCTGTAGTTGCTGGATTTTTAAGCCCATTTCCTCCAAAAGTATTATCCCCTTTTTTTATATACCCTTTCAATCTCAAGGCGGGGTGTTTTTGCTTAGCTCGCTTCCGTGTTTCTCCCTCTTTTCCTTCTTCTTTATACAAGCTGGCTCACAAGGAGTCAGCTGAGGAGTTGACACATTCCTCTAGGTCCCCTTCTTTTTCCCTTCTTTTTCTTTTCTCATGTATGTGTTCACACGTACATACATGCAAGGTGTGTGCTTCTCAGGGCAGCGAAAAGCCTTTCAGCAAAAGGAGTTGCACAGCATTTAAAATCCTGGCAGGGAGTCAAGGAGGGAACGACAGCCTTGAGCCAGCCCCGTTGGCTCCAGAGATGCTCACACTTGCTTCTCCAGCTCATTCACACACCCCTTCACCTGCTCGAAGAAGAGATCGGCAGCCAATACTGGATTTCTTTATTTTTAGTTTTGAAGTGGCATATTGGTAAAGCGATGCAGCACTAAAAGAAATAGGAGATTAAAAACACTTCTAAGTGAGGACACCCAGGATTGAGAGAGACACATACAAAGTGGAGCAAGGCAGCCAGTGCTGGCAAAAGGGAGGCCACACTGGTGAGTGCAAGGAGTGGCAAACCCCATAGACACAATTTACACTGACAGAGGTATGTACATATGCCAAAACAATTTAAACTCAATGGATTTCATAAATGAGTTAAAATAAATGATTCTCTTTCCGGCAAGTAAAATACCTTGCTTTGCAACCGAAAAACACACTTCTCGATTTAAAACATGCTAAACCTGATTCAAATAGTTCTTTCCCCCCCCCTCCCCCGTGTCACCCTGGTCTTAGACACAACATTTTCTTAGGAGCAGCCACAGTTCCATTCCTTGAGATTGAAAGAGTATGTAAAAAAAAGCCAAATATTATGAAAGCCCTATTGCCTATTCAGTCTCCAGTATTGCTAGTTCAAAGGAACTGAAGCTAGCTGGAGCAAGGAATTCATCTAGGTGTGACCATGGATAACTGCTGCCAGTCAAAGCTGGGCATATTGGCCTACATAGACCAATGGACTCATATGTTTCCATAGCAGAGGGTCAGTAGTAGTGGACATGTTTTGAATGCACAAGTTCCCAAGTTCAGTCCCTGACACCTCTACATAGGGACAAGAAATACTGCAGCTTGGACAACTGCTGCCAGTTGTTGTTGACAATACTAAGCAATATGGATAAAGCTTCCTGTGTTTTTCATGTACAGATTCTGCTCTGACTTGCATTTCTGACACCCTATTCCTTAAGCCAAGACTCAGTCCATTGTACCACACTGGCTCTCAGTATACATATACATTAGAAGAAATTTGCTCTAATTTTGTCTCTCTCCCTTTTATTTCTCTAGCTGGATCTCAAAAATTGCAGATCTTCTCATCTTTTTGCACAACCAAATTCTGAACACATGGCAGCCAATGAGATCAGAAATCCAGTGAATCCAAAAGCTGTTAAAGAGAACAAGGACATCTAGAGTAGACCTTGTTTCTGAAAACTCCTATCTGCCTCTGACTCGCCACGTCTTACGTGTTGTCTCTTTCAATCTCTCCCATATCTGTCACCCCTTCCAGGCAGAGCAAGAGTATGATGATGCTGTGAGTGAAGGCCATCAGGCTTTCCTGCTTGGGAGAGAAGAAAACACCAGCGACATTTTCACCTGCAGTCTGGGGAACCTTCCCCCTGACGGCGAAGCCACATTGAAGCTGCGCTATGTTCAGGCATTGGCTCCAGAGCCTGATGGGGCTGTCCGCTTTGTCCTGCCTGCTGTCCTCAACCCTCGCTATGTACCACGAGGTAAGAGCCTGGATCCCCTGACCTCAGCTGTTCGTTTAAAGGTGATGTGTTGCTTTCCAACTGTCATGGCACCTATATTAATGCCTACAAGAATTCCTGCAAGTGGTGGAGCCCTTGGAAAGGGCTGAGGCCTTCTGTCATCTGTCTGTACTTCAGGGCCATGTGTTCAAATCCTTCTCAAATTACACAGAGTAGGACAAAAAGAAATAGCCCAAAGTGGGAAAGGCTGTTTTGAACCATACATTAAGGCACATATGGTGAATTCTTGGCTCTTCCAGTGATTTAAACTTCAACTCCCAGAAGCCTGAGCAAACATAAGGAATTGTGGAAGTTTTTGTCTAGCATATATGGAGAGCTAAAAGCAGTGTACTGTATAGTGAAGGTCTCACAGGGTAAACCCCACAGAACTTTCTGAGTAACAGGCAGATTTCTACCCCCTTCAGGTTTCCCTGTCCCCCCCCCCAGATTAGCTGCAATTATCACAATAGCTGGGAGAGAAGTTGGTTTCCTACAAACAATATGCTGTTCCAAAGCATCCTTGTTATACTGCAGAGTATTTTGAGGACAGTTTGGTCTTAAATGCAGTCAAGAGCTATTAACTTTACCAAAGACCTCCTCCTGGTTTGTTTCCTGCCTGCTTATTGATCCACCTACCTGTACAGTGGTGCCCCGCATAGCGAGGTTAATCCATTCCGGATTAACCGTCGCTATGGGGAAACATCGCTATACGGAACAGAAAAAACTATTGGAACGCATTAAACTTCGTTTAATGGGTTCCAATGGGGCCCAAAACTCACTGTTCTGCGATGTTTCCCCCATCCGGACGCCATTTTCGCGCCCTCGGTAAGTGAGGGCAGGGCGTGAAAACGCTGCGCGCGGCCATTTTGGGCGTCTGGCGGCCATTTGGGAACCGCCGATCAGCTGTTTAAAAAAATCGCTATGTAAAAATCGGTAAGTGAAACGCTTACTGATCGTCGCAAAGCGATTTTCGGCCATAGAAAGCATCGGTATGCGATTGCATGAGCGATCCCAAAAAACGGATTGCTATGCAAATTCGTCGTTAAACAGTGCGCTCATTATGCGAGGCACCACTGTACTTTTGGACTGTCCTTACTGGGAGGGTGGCTGCGGACAGGCTGACAGTGAGCACCTATACAGTGGTGCCTCGTATAACGAGTGCACCGTTGAACGATGAATCCACATTGCACGCTCGCATTACGATGGGGGAACAGCTGTTCTGCGGCTCCAAAATGGCCACAGGAACACAAAAAATGGGTGCCGGTACACCCAAGATGGGCGCTGGAACAAAAAAAATGGCCGCTTGTACACCCAAGATGGCTGCCGGAACAAAAAAAATGGCCGTTGGTACACCCAAGATAGCCACCAGAACAAAAAATGGCCTCAGGAACAAAAAAATGGCCACTGGTACACCCAGAACACAAAAAAATGGGACATCGGTACACCCAAGATGGCCGCTGGGATGCTCAAAATGGCCACCGGTACACCCAAGATGGCCGCCGGAACAAGGGAAAACATCGGAGAACAGTGAGTTTTGGGCCCATTTGTTTAATGTGTTCCAATTGGGGTTTTTGATCCGTTTTACGATGTTTTCCCATAGCGAAGGTTAATCCGGAACGGATTAACCTCACTATGCGGGGCACCACTGTACTGTACTTTTAAATTTATCTCTACACTGGTGTCTAAAGGTTTAATACTTCATGTGATGACAGAATGAGGTGCTAAGGGCAGATTTCTAGCTACATGTTCTCCAGTCGATCTTTGGCACAAAATACAATTCAAAAAAAAAAGATAGGCAGTGTGTGGGTCTTTCTTTCTGCCATGTATCAACTTAGTTCCTTTCCTTTTCTTAATGGCAAGGATCCAAAACAACACCCTCCCATCCTACACCTGCTGATAATTTTCATCTTATCCCAGTTTTTTCTCCACTTGTTCCTGCTTGGCTTAGACAGTCCGATTTCTTTTCCTCCTTCGGATGCTGGAATTGCATATTGCTGTATGTCATATCTGTAGTGGCCTGCGGTGTCTGTTGCTCTTGCAGTTCTCATTAGGGGAGGGCACCATTTTAATTTAGCTGGGGTTTATAATAAGAATTGTCCAGAAAATCCAGAAGTTCCTTCTTTCCACCCAGTGGAAAGACTTTGGAGTGGCAAATAGTTGAGTGTGCGACAAAGTAGAACAGATAAGTTTGCTTATCTGGACAGAGTTCTCTGAGCTGTTAAATTCTGACTTTCGATTGCTGAGTATTCAGCTGAGGTTTTGGTGTTGAACTGGAGTTAATGCTTCTCTTCTTTTGGTAGGCTCATCATTTTTAATAGCTACTCATTCAGCAGATCCAACTTGATCCTCTCTAGGAGTGGTTGTACCTATTAAATAGGGCCATGCGGAGACTGAGAATTTTGGTCCACTGCTTGTGATAAAATTTTAACCAGAATTCTCTTCACCCACCCCCATAAACGGGTTTGTAAGGACTGGAGATTTAATTGTCTAGCGTGAGAAAAAGCAAAACTTGGTAGTGTCATCTCTCCCTGCTTATCACTCCCTTGTCCATGGTCACCTTGTATGGATCTCTCTCTTTCTCTGCAGATTCACAAGGAGACACGGTCACTGAGAGCATTTCACGAGTGCCTAAAGGTCAGCTTCCCTACACACTCAGTCTCCGTGCCACAGTGGAGTCTTCTTTTGGCATCAATCGCGTGGAGTCAAAGTGTACCCTTCAACCCCTTTGCTACACAGCAGAGGACCGTACCGCTGCCCAGGTAGGTCTACTGACGAACTGAGGTTTGAGGGGTACTTGTAGTTTGGAGGAAAGGGGGCTATATTTCTTTTTCTTCCATTCCTTGCTAGAAGGGCCGTCTCCATTCCAAATCCAGAGCAGTGCGGGATGCCAAACTATATGGCTATTGTATTCACATCACTTGGCTTTGCCTAGTTGACAGGTTTAAAAGACAGTACATGTGCAAACATACATAGAGTGCAGATGTCAGCTGAATTGTAAGCAAGGCAGGGTGGGGTGCCTGCTATGTTCCTGATCTGAAGCTCCCCAGACCTACAATCAGTGAGATAAGAAAACCTCACCATATACAGTGGTGCCTTGCAAGACGAATTTAATTCATTCCATGGTTAATGTTGTCATGCGAAAAATTTGTTTTGCAAAATGCATTTTCCCATAGGAATGCATTGAAATCTAATTAATGCGTTCCTATGGGCAAAAAAAAGTCAGAACAAAGTCAAATTTGGTTTGCAAAGGGTTTATTAAGTGCTCTTTAAAGCCATACATATTGTGCAGATGATTTTAAAAATTTCAATCAAAAAACTTTTAACTTTTTAAAAATCAGAGAAAAACATTTTAAAATCTGCAAACATGAGGCAGGAACAAAAAATGGAAATCTTGCGAAAACCATTTGTCTTGCGAGTTTTTTTGACCTGCGAGGCATTTGTCTTGCGAGGCACCACTTTATAGGTAACATAGCACACCAGCCTGGGCTGGAGAGATGCCATATTGGACCTTGGTCAAGCACAGTGTTAAAACTCTTCCTCCTTTAAGGCCATGGGTCTGAGAACCTTTTCTCCCACCCCATCCTAGGGGAGGGGGAAACCAGCTGTCCAAAACTAAATGCTATAAAATAACTTCAGGACTAGGTGGACTGAGAATCTCAAGGGTCAGGAACCTTTGGCCAACCGGGTGACACGTGGCTTTGGTGTTCAAAAAAAAAGGCTTCAAAGCTTTTAGAGCATGTCTTGGTGCTCCATGACTGGGTGGGCGTACTTTCGGTCCTCTGCAGTTTTGGACTCCCTAAAGTCCCAGCCAGCACAGGTAAAGATGAGGGATTGTGAAAGTTGTCATCCAAAACATCAGGAGAGCTACAGATTCCCCTTCTTGCTCTCAATCACACTCTGAGAGTTTTGGAGGAAAATGATATCTCCCTAAAGTCCCAGCCAGCACAGGTAAAAATGAGGGATTGTGGAAGTTGTCATCCAAAATATCAGGAGAGCTACAGATACCCCTTCTTGCTCTCAATCACAGTCTGAGAGTTTTGAGGAAAATGATACTTGGAGAAAATTGTAATGGAACATTTCATCTTTCTTATGAGTCAACAAGAGGTTGTTAGCTTTATATTTGGAGCTGGTGAACTGGAAGCACCATAATATGATCACCTCTATGTGACCTTTCTGCTCTAATGGGGAAAAGCTGCAAATCTAGTTCAGCAGCCTGTCTTTTGAGCTGAAAGCCATACCCCTCATTGTCTGTTGTGCTGATTCTGCAGTGCAGACTGGATACTCAGAGTTCATTCCTCTTACAGTGCTGTTTGCCATCCATAGGCTTAAGCCTTAAGCCAACAGCACTATAATGTCCCTGACTGACAGAATGTAAATGTTGCGGCATTAACAGAAGATATGCATGGGGTGTGATAGAGCCCAAAACTGGTTTCAATCCAGATTGAAATCTTGCAGATTTAGAATGCATCAAGTTTCCAGAATTAGATTTCATGGTGTAGAATGGTAGTGAGCAAGGAGTAGCCTGGAGGCTCCTTGTGGCCCCCTTCACCTCTACCCTCCTTTTGTCTAGCCAAAAGGTGAATTACTGCTCCTGGAAACCTGCAGGAGTAGCAATTCATATTTTAAAAAGGTTGCAGGACTTGCTGCATTGTTTAATAGATAAAAATTGCAAAACCAGGGTGGACCATCAGCCACTTCCAGTTTTTTTCTTTTTTTCAAGGTGAGGTTACAGTATTTTGGTTGTCCTTGTGGCTCCTATAGGGTCCCACTGGCATAATATTTTCACCCTGGCCCTTACTAAACGTTGTCGTTTTTAAATCTTCTTCTTCTTCTTCTTCTTCTTCTTCTTCTTCTTCTTCTTCTTCTTCTTCTTCTTCTTCTTCT